AGGTGATTAGGTTAATTGCTTGGCAAACCTATTCTTATAGCCAAGCAAGTTTAGTCCTCCTAACCAAGGTGATTAGGTTAATTGCTTGGCAAACTTGTTCTTATAGCCAATCAATTTAGTCCTTCTAAATTGAGATTTAGATTTTTTTTTTTTTTTTCCAATAGTTCTTGTTTGGTTCGTTTTTGAAATTTATTTTTGAGCATTTTTTCATTTTTCATTTTTAGTTAGGGTTAATTACAGTTGAGTCCTATTAAACGGACTTAAATACCTTTAGATACTATATGCATCTTTTAAAGAGTGCTCTTATTAGCATTCCATCAATTATTTTGGACCTCTCATTTTTTAGTTTTTTTTTATTACAAGAATAACATTAAATGAAATTATTAAAAATGACTTCAATAATTTTCTAACACTCTATCTCATAATTAAGTCTACACACCCACTACGTCATGAGTTAGGATTTATGAGAGTACCCACCCACCTCCATCATCACCCATCCATCTTCACCAAATCTCACATTCAAAACCTACCTACCCTCAAAATCATGAAAACCCTTTAACGACAATATTCTGGCTGTAACGGTGGCAACCATTTAATTATCTACACTTCTCCGACAATGACAATGAATGAAAAATTTTCCGGTAACCACAACTCCATGAGATGAGAGGAGTACAACAATAAATGCTCAAAGGATGTTCATAATTTTAATGGTGTTTTAAACTTAGAAGGGATTGACCTTATGAGGGTAGGTTTCTCGAAAAAAAAATAGCAAAAATAATAAAAACTGTTTATCATTTTTTCAGGACTGAACTCCCGAATATATGACGGAAATTCGGAAATACAGGCCCAAACATTGTTTACTTGTTTAGCAATAGGTAACCAAACATTCCTTATTTTTTCGAGAACAAATAACCAAACATTATCAATGAACCTTTTTCAAATTTTAAAATCACAAAACCTAGGTAAGATAAGAAACAAAAATTGAAACTGTTAGAAAATTCAAAGAAACCCACTTGAGAGATCACAAATCCAAACTCATGGAGGTTGCAGAACCCACAAAAGGAAAATTTTGAATCAACAACAAAAAACGCTACATTTATTTTCTAAGGTTATGAACAAGTATATGGAGATGAAGCAGTAATCACCTTCATGAGTTTTGTTAGGATTTTCGGAGAGAGAGGCTTTTTGGGGTGTGGGGGTGTGCATTCAATTGAATGTGTAGAATGTTTTCACAAAGATAATTTTGATATTATTTGAGAGAAGAAAATAAATTTTAAGAGTTTTAGAATTTATAAGTGCACAGTCCAAAGAAATGGAAGTACAAAATAATTGATGAGATGCTAATAGCAGCACTCATTTTAAATGCACTTAAAAATCTTTAAATACTTATTATACCCTCATTACTTATCACACTACCATTGGCCACCATCACTACCCACCGCTACTGCCATCGTCCATTGAGCATTACTACTATTTACTAACCACTTTTATCGTCACCAATCTACACCCCACAATAGTCAATCTACCATCACCATTCACTAGCCACTTCCACCATCACCGATCTACACTTCAACATTGTCGATTTACACTCCACTGTCACCAATCAACCGCCACCATTCATCTACCTCCATTGTTGCTAACTTTGTTGCCATCGTTTAGATCTAGCCATTTACAATGCCAATCAACTATCTTAGACACCAATTTGGTACCATGACCATGTTTGCCATCGAAATACAACCATTACATGGTTGTCCAAGCACTTACTAGAGAGATCGGGTCCCTCTCTCTTTCTCTTTCTCTACATAGTAATAGATATCCATTAATCTGTTGGCAAAGATCTCACCAAACCAGATATGTTGTCAATAAAATCTGAATACATCTATATGTGAATAAAGTTACAATGATAAATTTATTGGTTTTATCCTCTTTTTCTTTTTCTTTTTTGTGTACAAGTGTGTTGGTGTGTTTCTATCAATGAATAACTAAATGAGTATGAGTGTGAGAGAAAGATAGAGTAATTAATTAATTGGTCTTGTATCATTGCAGGATCTGAGGAGGCGGTGGGAGTAGTGACATGGAGAAGATGGATTTTTTACTGAAAAAAATGATCGAAAAATTATTGAAAAACATTCGTGGAAAAATATTGCCGGAAGTCGGAGGTAGTCGAAGATGGCTGTCGTCGATGGTCGGAGATAAAGACCAGAGGTAGTTGCCAACAACTGGAGACGGTTGTCGAAGGTCACTAACAAAGGGAGGGAGTCATGGCAGTGTTAATAATGGAAATGATGAAAAAGGTGAGGAGGGGATATTTTTGAGAATATTGATAAGTGAAAAAAGAATAGGATTTATAAATAAATAATTCTGATCAATAAGACTAGCTCATAAGTGCTCTATTTAGTTATACCTAAAATGTAAAATATTTATGACAAAATATGAATGAAAAAAAAAAAAAAGAAAGAAAAAAAGATCAGTATATAGACAAAAACAATGAATTATGTTTTTTTTTTTAATGATATTTTTTAAGTAATGAAAAATTACAAATATTTTATTTTAGAAAAATTAGGGATACATCCCTTTATATATTTGTGTTAGAGTTCTAGTACACTAGAACTTTGTTTGGTTGTTAAAATCGCTGGGATTTCAAACTTTAAAATAATAAGAAAATATTTGTTATTTTAAAAGACAAGAATAGATTTATACACCAAGGATCCTCTAGAGTGAAATTTCCCTAAAGTTTCCTAGAGTGATATATTGTGTGGTTGAGATTTACTGGCAAGTCACATCAGAAAAATTGATGTGACCTGCCAGTAAATCTCAACCACACAATGTAACACTTTAGGAAACTTTAGGAAAAAATCACTCTAGAAGATCCTTGCTCAAATTTATAACCTTAAAACTTAATTCTTAAAACTTAATTTTAGAATCTATTATGTTTTCTCTACATATTTTTTTCCCTCCCTTTCTTTGACGTACTTTAGATCTACATGTTGTCATCCTCTCTGTTAGCTTGCTATCGTCATCATTAATCACAACCATCATCTACCACCGCCATTGCCACCGTTTGCTAACTTCACCACCACCGTTCCTGAACTGTCATTCTATTCATATCTCCATCAAAATTGTTTGTGGCAATAAAGTTCTTTACACAATCCCTCCGATTTATATAATTAAAAATCTAGAAATTCGCTAGATATTAATTTGTGATTATGTATCAATTTAAAGCAATAAAACAATTCCAATCAAACAATCAAGACAAATCGACACAACGATTTTAACGTGAAAAATCACTATTGGAGCACCTCCAATTGTGATAAAAAAAACCACGGGTAACAGTCACAAAACAATCCACTAAGAAGATATAAAGGAATTACACATATATATTCTCAATTACCTAGCGAATCCACGCCTGAATTGAACCAACCCCTATATGCCTCTTCCAACCCCGTCTTCACCTTGGAATTGTTTTGACGATGAGCCACTCTAGAATCTACCAAAGCTTCAGGCTCGAATTCTTAAGAATCCACTGAAGAACAACTCTCTCTTTTGTGTAAAACAAACAAATAATCTTTTGATGTATACTCTTTAAACCATGAGTTGAATACTTAATCAAAACATTAAAGAAAACTAGTAAAATATCCCCAGATATAAACCTTAATATTCAAGAAGAAGATCTGAAGAAGTAATCCAAAAATCTGACAGAAACACATACTTATAGAAATTTGGGACTGCGAAGCTCGCTCAAGCGAAGACTCTCTCGCTCGAGCGAGGAACCAAAAATGCGTGTTTTCCATAAGTGGTTTCACTCGAGCGAGAACTCCTTCGCTCGAGCGAGCAAGGGCGGACATGCAACTTCGAATGTAATTTTGTATTTTTCTTCGAGGGCGCTGCCCCCTCGACCCCCGCGAGCTGACCGGCTAGCTCGATCCCCGTCATAGTCAGCGAAGTGGCAATCTTAAAAGCATTAACATCACAAACTTCTCTGCAAGGCACAATTCGGGTTGGATTCGCATCTAAAAATTCATAACCTCACAGAAATAAAAAGGACAAAAATAAATACAACTGAAAGGAGTTTTGTCAAACGGGATTGCCAAGAATAAAAACCTAACATATATGTTTCTCTCTCTTTTTTTTTTCTTTTTTTTTTTTGCTTTTCCTTATTCTTCTCTTTCTCTATTTGTTATCTCTCCTTCACTGTTCTCTGCTCTCTTTCTATATCGCACAATAAATTTCAATGTCACCTAAAAATTTCATAGATAAATTTTACTAAGAGAGTAAGTGAAATTTCAGTTAAAATTCATCATTTTAGATCCCTTAATTTGAACTCCTTAGATATAAATTTGAAATTAGAGACCTAATTTTTTGTGATTGATTCTCAAATTTAAAATTTTTAGGTTTTTAATATAAATTTCTCTAAATTTGGGTGATGAGATTTCATTGTGCAAAAGTCAATGAAATATGACTGATGTTTTCAATAACTTTTTACAGTGAAATTTCATATTTTTTTAATATATATTATTAATGGATCTTAGTGAATAGCTTTTGATGAGAGAATTATAAAAACATAAATTTAGCAAAAATTAGAAACATAAATAAAAAGTTATTCAATTTTAAAATTTTCAAATCACCTAAAAGTGAATTGCTGGGTAGTTTCGTCTGGCTTACTTTTGACGGACCTAAACTAGTATTGAAAAGGTTGTTGTCTTTATTCTTCTACAAACATTGAACGAGGATGCTGAAAAAAAAAAAAAAAAAAAAAAAAAAAAAGAAGAAGAAAGAAATTGACTAAAATATCAAAAATAAGAAACATAAAATTGAATAACTTTTGATTGATTAAAAATCCAACTAATTTTTTATCTATTTTTTTGTTCAAAGTTGATGCATGAAAAGCATGGGCGCCATGGATTTCATGTTTCACAAAGCTATCAGTGCTCACCTAACAATTGTTTGTCCAAAGAGTGGTAATTGAGACCCCATCCCAGAAGACTCCACAAATCTGAACCCCCACACATACATGGAAGGCCAGGATCTACTTTGGGGTGTGAAGGTCATCCCCAAAGGAAATTCCAAACATTTATGTAGCAATCTCTAAACTAATAAGCTCTGCATTTTTTATTTTAATGAAGTAGGTGCTTACATAAACAGATAAAATAATGACAGTGTTTATTTTCCCTCTCTCCAACTGATTTGAAAATCTCATGAGAAATTGGCTGATGCCGGTATCATGTCCCGTACGTAAGCCGCTACCTCGCTCATTATAAATTTTGTCCCTGTTATCAATGCCTTAGCACCTCACAGCCTTCTCTCCTCTCCTCTTCTCTTCCCTTCTCTTCACTTCTCTCACCATTCTTGATCAGGCATGGCTGTCTCGGGGCTTGTCATTAGATTAAACCCGTGTATATCTCCACACCTGACAACATCCCCAAGGCAAAGCCATGGCTGCAGAAAACAGGTATCAGTGCATAAAAATTTCATTTAACACTCGTTCGTTTGGGCAGAAAACATTTTCTGGAAAATGTTTTCTGTGAACTGTTTAGTATTTTGTTATTGTCATCTGGTTTTCAATTCTTGATGTGGTTTCACTCATAGACATGGTTTTGGTAATTCAAATGGTATGTTATATGTACTAATGGTGGTTGGTATGGGGGTTTCAGTTCTACTTGAGAGCTTCAGCCACAAGTTCAGATGGTGAGGATGGGAAGATGATGATAAGGACAGAGAAAGGGGGTTGGAAGATTGATTTCTCTGGAGAAAAGCAACCCACACCATTGCTCGATACAATCAACTATCCTGTTCACATGAAGAACCTCTCTGCACAGGTAAAAGCACCAACGGCTAATACTCTCTACTTTACCTGTTGTTGATCTTCTTCTCCTTTTGATGATGATGAATGTGGTGTTTCAGGATCTTGAACAACTAGCAGCAGAGCTCAGAGTGGATATTGTTCACAGTGTATCAAAGACAGGAGGACATCTTGGTGCAAGCTTAGGAGTTGTGGAGCTGACTGTGGCTCTGCACCACGTCTTCAACACCCCTGAAGACAAAATTATATGGGATGTTGGTCATCAGGTGAGTAGACAGATCAACTTTACAAATGAAAATGAAAAAAATATGAAAAATGGACCATATCATATATTTGAATTCTATTTCGATTTCTACAACACGGGTTCTGAACAGAACAACTAAATATGGCAGGCATACCCACATAAAATTCTGACAGGGAGGAGGTCTAAAATGCACACCATTAGAAAAACTTCAGGGCTAGCAGGGTTTCCTAAAAGGGATGAGAGCATTCATGATGCTTTTGGTGCTGGCCATAGTTCTACAAGCATCTCTGCTGCACTTGGTATTCTGTGTTCTTTTTTTGGAGTTTGTGATGTTTAAATATAAATATATAAATAAATAAAAAAAGGCCCGCTTGTGAATACATATATGTCATTCCATAAGGCACACCACAGGAACTCTGATATATTTTTTGGGATAAAAAAAACTTTTGTAGGTATGGCAGTTGCAAGAGACCTTTTAGGGAAGAATAACAATGTCATTTCTGTGATTGGAGATGGAGCCATGACTGCAGGGCAAGCATATGAGGCCATGAACAATGCAGGATACCTTGATGCTAACCTGATTGTCATATTAAATGACAATAAGCAAGTATCCTTACCCACAGCTACTCTTGATGGCCCTGCAACTCCTGTTGGAGCTCTCAGCAGTGCTTTATCCAAGCTCCAAGCAAGCCCTAAGTTCCGGAAACTTCGTGAAGCTGCAAAAGTATAACCTCTAAGCTTTTCATGCCACTTTCTTACTGTTATGTTTCCTCTATTCTTATTTCAAATGCAAGAGAGATCTGATTCGGTTTTATCTCTTCAAAGAACATCACAAAGCATATTGGACCGCAAGCACATGAAGTTGCAGCAAAAGTGGATGAGTATGCAAGGGGTATGCTTGGTGCTCCTGGGTCTACTCTCTTTGAAGAGCTTGGGTTATATTACATCGGTCCAGTCAATGGGCACAATATAGAAGATTTAGTCACCATTTTCCAGAAAGTAAAAGAAATGCCTGCACCAGGTCCAGTTCTTATACACATTGTAACAGAGAAAGGCAAGGGCTATCCGCCAGCGGAGGTAGCAGCTGACAAAATGCATGGTGAGTCACCTACTACAGAATCTAAATGTCTCATAAAACTGCATAAAATGCTTATCCTCCAACTCTTTCAGGGGTTGTCAAGTTTGATCCGAAAACAGGAAAACAATTTAAGCCCAAATCCCCTACACTTTCATATACCCAGTACTTTGCGGAATCCCTGATAAAAGAAGCTGAGGTAGATAACAAGATTATCGCCATCCATGCGGCGATGGGTGGTGGGACTGGCCTCAATTATTTCCAGAAGAAGTTCCCAGATCGCTGTTTCGATGTGGGAATTGCAGAGCAACACGCTGTTACATTTGCAGCTGGTTTAGCCACAGAGGGTCTCAGGCCATTTTGTGCTATCTATTCATCCTTCCTGCAGCGAGGTTATGATCAGGTGAGCCTGGAGCATTAGATGATGCCAAAAAGGGGAAATGTGGCTTTTATAAAGATTTTACTTCTGATTTTAAATCAAATTTTGAACATAACACCAATACTTTACAATGGATATGAAGGTGGTGCATGACGTAGATCTTCAGAAACTACCTGTCCGCTTTGTATTGGATCGGGCTGGTTTGGTTGGTGCAGATGGCCCCACACACTGTGGAGCATTTGATATCACGTACATGGCTTGCTTGCCCAACATGGTGGTCATGGCTCCATCTAATGAAGCAGAGCTGATGCATATGGTTGCGACGGCAGCAACCATTGATGACAGACCTAGCTGCTTCAGGTTCCCAAGGGGTAATGGAATTGGAGCAGTCCTTCCTCCCAATAACAAAGGAGTACCAATTGAGGTTAGCATTTGAAATAACCAATTTTTAAATAATCTAAGCAAAGAGTTGGAAAAAAGAACTAAAAAAAAAAATCTTCTGTGATAATTGAATAGATTGGAAAGGGGAGAATACTGATGGAAGGCAATAGAGCTGCTATTTTGGGATATGGGTCAATAGTTCAACAATGTGTGGAAGCAGCAGGCTTGCTCAGATCCCAAAACATATCTGTGACAGTTGCCGACGCAAGGTTTTGCAAACCCTTAGATGCAGATTTAATCAAGAGATTGGCGAAGGAGCATGAAATCTTAGTTACTGTAGAGGAAGGCTCCATTGGAGGTTTTGGATCTCATGTGTGTCAATTCCTAAGCTTAAATGGTATTCTGGATGGACCCCTTAAGGTAATTGTCCTTGAACAACGGATATTTTAAGCTCAACTGCTGTTTCTTTTTCATTTATTTTTATTGTTTCCCGTGGATTTTAATTCTTTTTAGAGCTTTCTGCAGTTGAGGGCAATGGTACTTCCTGATAGATACATAGAACATGGATCACCCCTAGATCAGATTGAAGAAGCAGGGCTCTCTGCCAGGCATATCTGTGCAACAATGTTATCCCTCTTGGGGATATCCAAAGAAGCTCTCAAGTTCAAGTGAGTCCACACACGGAAGCAAATATTGACTTACTAGTTATGAATATCATCCACATCTGTAATTGGTTCTAGTTTGGCTTTAAGAGGAAAAGAAACACAGAAAACCCAAACTCAAAAGCTTATCATTGGGTTCCAAGAGACTGAGGGTCCAAGACTCATTAAAATTATTTTCCCTATATCCCTTACCACAAACGTATCTATTTAAGGGATTTGAATAGAATTTAAAAAGACACAAATTGTGTGTTTCTGTATATTCATTTTCTCCTCTTGTAATGTAAAATATATATTATATTACATGAACGAAGTGAAGTATCATATGATTATCCCATGAAGCAAAAGTTTTCTTGAATAGAAAATTGGCAATGCATCTTGCCCTATTGTGTTTTTCTGTTTGTTTTAATATAAATCAAGAGCAGGATCATTTGGGTAATTATTGTCCAACAACTTTTGTGCAATAGAAGAAATGAATAAACAATATTAGCGTGTTTATACCTTACTGTTATGAGGCCTCACCTGTCTCAAATTATGGAAGCACACACACATGAATCAGCCACTGGGCAGCAACTCGTGATGCAGGTGTTTATCAATTAATCAATCAATTATGGTTGCAACTCGTGATGCAAGTGTTGATCAATCAATTACAAATAAACAAAAAATTGGTGGACCAATCAGCAGTACAGAATGACAACAATTTGACCAGACTAACTTATAGTTGAGGAGCCCAGAAAGAGAAATGGACGTCACAAAATTATTCACCAATAATCTCCACAGGAACACAACCCATTGCTAAAGTGATGGAATCTCTTTGCATCTCTAGCAATTATCTCTCTCCCAACAACTCTTGATACAAATTTGATCCAATTGTGACAATCCCCACAAACTCTAAGGTTCTTGAGAATTCTAATACTAGTAGTGTTGTTACTGCTCCTCAATAGAGCAAAGGCTACAGCAAGCTTCTCACTATGACAATACAAAGACCTCTCTTTTTCCTTCTCGTCCAAATCCTGCAAAACAAATCTTGTGTCTGGGACATATCCCAAGTCCTTGACCTTCTCAATCAATTCCTCTACCATTCTGTATATCTCTCTAGAATTTGGGTGAGACCAATCACCAGCCATGAAAGTATGAACCTCCCTACCAACATCAACCCAACTCATTGCAGGATTCTTCTTCAATCTCATTTCCCTCATTGTGCTTTTCATCTCAACCACCTGGTTCCAATTACCAGTTGAAGCATAAAGATTTGACAACAGGACATGAACCCCCTCATCCCCTGGTGCAAGTTCAAGCACTCTATTCATTACTCTCTCTGCCATATCGACCTCCCCATGAATCCTACATGCGCTAAGCAGTGTCCTCCACAGAACCACATCTGGATTTTTGACCCGCTTTATTAAAATTTCCGCCTCTATAAGTCTCCCAGCATGCCCCAGTAAATCAACCATACAAGCATAGTGATCTTTTGTTAGTTTGATGTTATCATTACTCTCAATGGATGCAAAGATTTTACAGCCTTCCTCAACCAACCCTGCATTGCGGCAAGCTGAGAGAACACTAACGAGTGTTACATCATTAGGTTCAAGGTCTAACTCTTTCATCCTGTTATATAATGACAGCGCCTCATGACCAAAACCATTCTGGGCAAAGCTATAGATCATTGAGTTCACAGGCACCACATCTAATTCAAACAAATCATCAAAAACTGATCTGGCCCTATCTACACTCCCACATTTCCCATATAAGTCGATCAGTGCGGCTCCTGTATATTTATCTCTGCCCAACCCAAATTTCACAACCATGGCATGGATTTGTTTTCCTTGTTCAAGCATTGCAAGACTTGAACATGCACGAAGAACACTTGACAATGTAAAAGAATTTGGATTTATTGAACTACGGATCATTTTACGGAACTTTGACAGAGCAATCTCGTCTCTACCATTTTGCACAAGACCAACAACCAGCGATGTCCAAGTGACTTGGTTTGGGTTTACAAAGTGCTTAAAAACTTTGAGAGAATCAACAACTAAGCCGCATTTAGAATACATAGTAAGGAGTGAAGTTTGTGAAGCCACAGCAGATTCAAATCCACATTTGATAATGATTCCATGAATCAACTTCCCCATAAATGAATCCTCCAAATGCCCACAAGAAATCAAAATGCTTGCAAAAGTATACTCGTTAGCCTTAACGCCCTCTTTAATCATATTTCCAAAAACCACCATTGCTTCACCATCTTCACCGCGTTGGGAGTAACCAACAATTAAAGCCGTAAACAAAACAACATCTTTGTCCACCACTCGATCTAAAACCAATTGGGCATCCCTCATATTCCCAAACTTGGCATACATATCAACAAGTGCGCTACCAACAAACACATTTGACACCTCCAAACCCAAGACCACAGACAGCCCATGAGCTCTCCGGCCTTCACCAACAAGACCCAGATCAGAAAATGCCTTAAAAACACTAGAAAAAGTAAATTCGTCTGGAAGAACACCCTCCAAAACCATCCTCTCAAAAAGCCTCATAGCCTCTTCACTTCTTTTATGCCTACTGCAAGAGGCAATCATCGAATTCCAAGTGACTGTGTATTTGTGCGGCAATTCATCAAACAATTTACGCGCGTCATTGATGCTACCGCACTTGAGAAACCCATCAATGAGCTTATTGCCTAAACTGAAGTGAGGAAACCCAGATTTCAGCATATGGGTTTGAATCATTGTTAAGTCTGTTTTGGATTTTGTCTCTATACATTTTCGAATCAGTGAAGTGTAGTCTGGTGAAGCGTCTTCAAGGCTTGTGTAGTCAAAAGGAGAGTAGATGTAGTTTGGTTGGGCTGGCTTCAGTACGCAAGTTTGAAAAGCTGTAAGTAAATTCCAAGCTTTGCCAAACCCAACATTTCTCTGGCAATTGCTGGGAATTATTTGCATCTTCTCTTCTCTTCTTCTACGTTTCTAATGTTATCGTACAGTTTATACACACAATGAACAAAGACTTCGTTGTCTCCAACTTTTCAATTTGGAATACTCTGCAATTATCATCCTTAAATTTTGGGTTTATACCAAAAGACACAAATATATATATATATACTAGTGGTGTGGCACATGCGATGCATGTGCAATTCAGATAAATAAGCATAAAAACAAATAATAAAGAAATTAATGCAATAATATGTATATTGTCTAAATGGTAAGAGTGTTCTTAATGAAACCCAAGGTCTTGGGTTCAAATCTTACTCATGCCTTTGAATAACATTTTTTTATTTTAGGATAGAAAAATTTGCCACGTGGCAGAAGGAGAAGCTACCACACTATTAGACACCAAGTCATGTGCTCACATATATAATAGTATAGATATATATTGATAACATCGGTCCATTGTACTGATTAATTTAGGAAACAATTATAAGCGAAAAATATAAGCTAGATTTATAGGTTTCGTTTGTTTTCGTAGGTAGAGTGAAAGAGATTTATAATAAGGAAATTAATAGTGAGGAGATTAAATAAAATTATGTTTATTTTGATAATAGTTGTTAGTATAAAGATTGTTAAATTATTTTTACATAAATAATAAAATAAATACAAATATATTAAATATTAATGTCTAAAAAAAAATACACAACATGTAAAAAATTAAAAAATCAAAATAAAAATTTCCAAAAAAAATAAAACAAAAAAAATAATGATTTGTTACTTAACAATAAATAAATAAATAAATAATTTCTAGACTTTGGAATTATTTTTTTAATATCATCTCCACCTTCTTCGTCTCAATCCCCCTTCTAAGGCCTATCCTAATACTAAGGAATTATGAGTCCCCTCTCCATCTCTCAAAACAAACACCCCATATAATGGATTATCTTACTATCAATTAGGACTGAGCAAGGAATCCGAAAAATTCGTAATCCGATCCAGTCCAGTCCAATTCAATTTGATAGATTTGGATTAGTTTTTTGAATCCATGGTTCGATTCCGGATAAAAGAATTAAAAATCCGTAGTCCACGGATTGATTTCGGATTAAACCCCACGGTTCCGGATTAGAACCGATACGGACCGTATACAAATAGTCTATATTTTTATTATACATTCTCCTCCATAGTATCTTCTCTTATTCTATATAAAACATAAACTCAAACCTAAACCCCGTATAATATCTTCTTTTATTATTTTGCTTTGTTAGTTTTTAGTTTTAATTTGTAATAGTCTAAATACTTATGGTGAAACCAATTTTCTTATGATTGTTTAAATTCTAAAACATTATGTCGCTATTATAGAAAAACATGTTGCTATTGTTGAACTAATATAGCGCTATTTTTATATTTTTTTGAAATTAAAGTGTTATATATATATTTTTTTGTTAGTTAATTATGTTAATCCGTGGTTCTAAACCGATTTAATCTGTGTTTAAATGGATTCGTTTGGATTGGTTCCATGATTTAAACGGATTGGATTGATTCCGATTTTTCAGGAACCGTAGATAACGGATTGGTCCTGGTTTTACTACAATCAGGTCCAATCCAGACCATGCTCACCCCTGCTATCAATCTCAATCTCTTCCCTATAACCCCAAATAAACGGAGCCATGAGATAATTTCTCTACTTAAATCTTTATTACAAGATTATTACATAAATAATTATTATAAAGAGTTTTAGTCCCAATTTTAACCTCCAACAACAAATGGTAATGAAAATAAGTGTGAATGATAGAGTAAGTGTCTCTCGTTTTAAAAAAATGAATTCTGTTATTTTAAGCAATTTAATAAAATTGATTGCTCAAGTCATGAAATTTATTTAAAATGAGTGACGTTATTATTTTTTTAGATTTGTTATACTTTTTACCTTTAAGTTATCGCCAAATTATCTATTTAATTTTTGAATTATCAATTAAGTCTAGTAGGTTCTAAAGTATATGAATCAAAGTCTACATAGTTTTTAAACTATCGATTGAATTAATAAAATCCATAAAATATTTAATTCCTCAAACATATTTAGTCCAAGATTACAAAATTAAAAATCATGTCCATAAATATTATAAATTAATAAAAGACATTACCTAATTAAAATTTTACTACAAAAAAATCTTAAATTTTTATTTTGTCTTTAAAAAGTATTTTATTTCGTTGTGTGATTATTAGTATTAGAGTCTGATTTTTCAGTATTGTCAATAAAATTATTAGATATATTAAAGAAATATAAGTAGATAACTTACAAATAACATTTCTCTACAAATAATGATAAAAAAATAATATATTAATTAAATATAAAAAGAATTTATCAAAAAATATATAAATAATTAATTAGAAATTATAAACGAAATCTAACATATAATACTAGATAAAGGCAAATGCATATAGTTATTTTAGAAGATAAGTAAAAAAATATTATAAATAATTACTCTTATCCTTATAAAGAAAATTCACCATATAAGAACTAACATCTACTTTTCAAAAACAAAATAAAAATGTAATTTTTTTAAAAAAATAAAATTTTAACTAGATAGGGTTTTTTTATTAATTTATAATATTTATGGGCTTATATTTTATTTTTTTGTAATCTTTTTAGGAATACTTGATTTAAATAATTTAGAGACTTAATAGATTCAATCAATAGTTTATGAACTAAATAGATTTTGATCTATATACTTTACAGATTTAATAAACTCAATCAATAATTTAGGAACTAAATAAATAATTTGACGATAATTTACGGATATCAAGTGTAATAAACCCTTTTTTTTATTATTATTATTTAAGATATGTGTTATTTTATTTACACATCTTGTCCAATACGTACATAGAATTGAATATGTTTTACTCACTCACTTATAGTTGAAACAGAAATTAGACACAATTTTTTTAACATTAATGATTTATATACATAATTTGCTTTGTTCAAAAACACATAATTGAGATTCTGACCGGTAAAAATCTTTGAAATAGGAGATTTTCACTAGTCAAAATTTTAATTGTGTCTATTCAGACGATATAAATTGTATAAATATAACACTATTTTTTTTTTTAAATAATAAAGCTCAAAATAAAATTTATATATAATGAGATCCCATTAAATTAATAATACGCCAAGTCATCGAAACGCGGTGCGGGAGCACGAAAGCATCTTTTGTGAAAATAATTAAAGAGTAAGATCGCAAATGAATAAAATTATTCATGAATAGTTTGAGTTTGACCAGTGTAAAACCCGTTTAGAATAATGAACGAGTTTAAACTCAATTTTTAAGCTCGATTGAATCGAGCTCAAGTAGCCTTAAGCTCGGCTTAATAAAACTCGTGAACATGATGAAAATAAATAAATATTTATATATCAAATAAATTTTAATTATTTTTTAAAAAATACTAAAGATTCCAAAAGTTTTATTAAATTTTCTACTAAATATCTCACATGAGTGTGGAACCTATATGGGACCAATACGGTGTGAGTCTCGCATTCATAAGAGACATTTGGTAAAATTTTTAGGGTCTCTAGTATTATTTTTTTTTAAAAAAAAATTATTTGTATTTCTATACCTAAAGGATTTCTTTAATGTTGTGTTTAATTGAAGGATTTGGGAAGAGATTTGAAAAAAAAAAAGAAAAAAAGTGTGTGAAATTAGATGAAATATAAGTATATTTTATTTACATTTCACATTCTTTTTCTATTTCTATTTTCAAATTCCCCAACCAAACACAGTGTAGAGGGAATTACAAATAAGTGGAATGAATAAAAAATATTTACAAAAAAGTGAATTTTTTTATAATTTTAATTATCAATATTTATCATTTATTTATATATACATTTTTTAATCTCCACTAATGTGTAATTCTCCTAGTTCTTTAGAAATTGAAGGGAGTAGATAGAGAAATAATAGATAGAGGGGGAGGAATGCATTTTTTATTTTTTTTTTGGTTGCAAATTTGAACATGTTTAAAGGGTTTTTTGGTCTTAAAAAATGGGCTTACTTTTTACATAGACGTGTGACTTTTACAAGTCATTAACTTATATGAAAAAATTAATAATGTATTTTAATTCACATATTACGAAAGATCATAGGATTATTTCTAAATGACAACAAAATAATCCGTACAAAGAGTCAAGTGAAATTTGCCGTAACAAATATCTTCTAAAAATCAATCTCCGTGATTCTCTTCCACCGTGCTCCCCTCAAATCCAACCAGCTCATCCAACAGAGCATCATTTTCAGAATACAAATATAACAATGCGGTGTTTAGTGGGAATTATAGTAGTAATTTATAATTTATTTTAATTTAAAAATTTGTGTCAGACTATTTAATATAACTTTTACTTTGTTAGACAGAAATAATTTAAATATACTGAAATAAATTAATTTTTCAAAAACTAAAAAATAAATATTTTTAACTTTTATTTTCTAATTATCAAATTTTAATTTAAAATAATCTCCAACAAAACAACAAATGTCCATTTCCTAGTTTAATATATGAAAGTTGGAAGACAGAAAATCCTTTTAAGTCATCATATCAGTCATATATATATATATATATATATCTATACAATATATATAAAGCACGGATGCAAGGTGAATAGTAGTTTCAGCCAAATATGAACAGTATTTTTAAAAGTTGAAAAGTCAATTTTGACCTTGTGCTTTATAACTTTTCTCTTTGGATGCAAGAGTAGTGATTGGAAACTAACCTCAAATTGCTTACATATACCCACTCTCTCTATAATCTGTCTCAGAGAACCCTCCCTTCTCTTCTTTTCAACAATGATCTCCTTGCACCGACCACGATATTCGACCACCTCCTCCCTCCTCTCACCGATCTCCTCCCTCCTCTCCCCTCTCACCGATCTCCTCCCTCCTTTATCCTCTTGCGACCGCTGATGACGTCTCCTCTGTGGTGCCGATTTGTTTTATTTTTTGTGGGTATTCATAGTGTTCACCAACGAATCAAACGGAAATTGAGCTCAAGGATGGAAGAATACGACACAAGCTTCTATTAAGGTAAAGACATAGATGAAGAATGTTAGGTATTTCGATTTTAGGTTCCTTTTGATCCAGTTAGGGTTTGTAAAGTGTTTTAATTTTCTTTGGTTCTGTTAATTTGTTAGGGATTTGTTCTTTTTATTATTGTTTGCATGATGTTTACTGTGTGTATATTTTGTAGCTTATTCATTTTGGGTAAAAGAGGGTTTCATTGATTTGTTTTTCATTGTTGTGGATTTTTAAAGGCCTAAAATATTATGAAATGTTGATTTGATTCAGTGTTTTAAAAGGCTCCAGGCGCACCGAGGTGATAAGGTGTCCTGGAGCCTAAGCGCGAGGTGCGAGGCGAGGCGCACATAATAAAAGCAATGCAAAATTATAAAATAAGCAAAATTTTTAACATAACAAATATATGTAGTATATTAAAAAGTATAAATATCCAACAAAAGGTATAAAGTATGACATTCATAATCACATCCACCAAAAACCTTATGTACTAAAATCATCATCCACATAATTCAATGCAACTAAGCTTCTAACTTGTGATTCAAAAAGGAAATTAAAATATATAAGCCCTATAGTTGCATAATTGTACTCAAAACTTAATAGACATCATCATCAACATGAAGAACTTCATCTCCTCCATCATCATCATCATCATCATTGGATTTGTATCCATCCACATCATCTTCTTCAGCCTTATCTTCATCTTCCCATTCATCTTCTTCATTTACAAGTTGTTGGTGTGTTGTCCTAGTTGTGCTTGATCTAGTTCTTTGGTTACTCTCCTCAACTCCAACAGCTACAGCAACATCATCCCACCCCAAAGAATCATCATCAAATACAAAGCTCATTCTCCATCCTCCAAATCAACCATTCATTGCTCTCATCAATATCTTTCAAAGAGATGGGATCAATATTGGCACGTTTCATGTATCGACGCTTCAATGCTCTATTATACTTCACAAACACCAAATCATTGAGACGTTTTTGAGCAAGCCTATTTCTTTTTTTGCTGTGAAGCTGCAACAATAAATAAAAAAGCATTTAAATTTGTATATAATTGAATTTGTTTTTGGAATTCACTACTAGATTTGACAACAGGTACTCACATGTTCAAACACGCTCCAATTTCTCTCACAGCCAGATGAACTACAAGTAAGACTAAGTACTTTGATGGCAAATTTTTGCAAATCAGGAGTTTCATGACCAAAAGAACTCCACCAATCAGCTGATCATGATAATTAGTTAGCACTTAGCAAACATTTTGAAGTAAAAGGTATTGACTACTAGAATAGAACATTGTAAATGATTACCTAGTACCCTTGTACTTCTTTGTCTAATTGACATAGGAATCTGAAAAAGTCCTTCAGCCTTCTCATACTTAGTTAATTCTGCACAAACTTTATCTTGGACCTCTAGTGTTGGAATCAACCTTGATATACATTGATATAGGCCTGTCATGATTTCTTTGTCCTTTGCAGCATTTGGATCTTTGTAAAACAAACTAGGATTTAAATAAAACCCAGCAGCATGCAAAGGGCGATGCAATTGAATGTCCTACATTGGATCAATGATTTCAAAGATCTCTTTATACTTCTCTTCCTTTCCATCGAATGCATTTGCAATAGCTTCTTTAGCCCTATCCATAGCCTCGTAAATATATCCCATTGGAGGCTTTTCTTCACTATCAACCATTCTTAGTACATGAACAAGAGGACATGAAAACTGCAGGGCAAGGTGAACATGATTCCAAAATGAAGGCATTAGCATTATTTGAACTGTCTTCTTACCCTGCGGCTCCTTCGCCCATTTGCTTTTGGTCCACTCTTCCGAAGTAAACATCTTCCTCAAGTTGTTCCTTTGTTGATAAAGTCTTTGCAAAGTTAAGAAAGCTTTTGCAAATCGGGTTTTAGTAGGCTTCACTAACTCCTTCAATTGAGTGAAACTCCTCATCATATTCAACAAAGATGGACGATTATAAATATAACCGTGTACCCCAATTGCCCTTTCAAATGTTTTCTTAAAATTGGGTAATTTGAAAATGTCTTCCAACATTAAATCCATGCAATGGACTGCACAAGGTGTCCAATACAAGTGGGGTCTCTTTGCCTCCAAAAACTTCCCTATAAGATTACAAGTTGCAAGTTTATAACATACTACTTTAAACAAATAGATTATAGAACCAAAACAAAAGCACACTATTTGCAATAGAGTTGGAGGATTTTACCTGCCAATACATTTGCTGCAGCACTGTCGGTGACAATTTGGACCACATTAGCTTCTCCAATTTTGTCAACAAACTTGTCAAGCAAGCTAAAAATCTTGTTTGCATCCTTTGAGTAACTAGATGCATCAATAGACTCAAGAAACATGGTTCCTCTAGGACAATTCACCAAGAAATTAATCAAAGTTCTATGCTTCCTATCCGTCCACCCATCACACATTATAGAACATCCATACTTTGCCCAATCCTCTTTGTGCTCCTTCATCAACTTATGGACATGATTCACTTCTTTCTTGAGATAAGGAATCCGAATCATGTGGTAACTTGGTGGTTTCAAACCTGGACCAAATTGTCCTATGGCTTCAATCATTGGTGCAAAACTTTCATTATTGACTACATTAAACGGAATTCCAGTATCATATATCCATCTTGCAATTCTGACATAGGACCTCTCCATTAACTATTTTCTATAAGGATCATTTTCATCAATTTTAATTTGCTTTCCCTTGCCTTCTTTTTTTTGTTTTTTTTTTGCACCACTAACTCTGGCTCAGGTATGAAGAAACAATCCATGGGCCTTATCTTCCTAGGCTTTTTAGGTTTCAATTGAATAGAAGCAGAGGTAGTTTTTCGAGTAGAACCTTGAATAGGAACAGGCTGTTTACCATGTGGAGAGATTTCTACAACATTATCCTCATCCTCAAAATCTTCTTCGTTGACCATTTCATCAAAGTCAGGCATCAAGTTCAATTGATCCTTCAGTTGCTTTTTTTTGGCCATATAATATCAGCCACCTCATTACTAACCTCAGTTAGGCATCTAGGACATTTAATTACATTCCTATACCCTCCAACAAGATGTTGCTTAACTCGGAAAACACCCCCATTCATCTCTTTTCCACAAAAATTACACTTGAACTTGCTTAGATTTACAGGATTTACCATTGTTGAATACTTCCATGCCGGATCTTTTTTTCCACTCTCGGGCATTGTCATTTTATGTATGTACCTATTGAGATTATAAACACTGATTCAGTGTTCATTTTATTATTATTATTTTGACAGGGAAAAGAAACAGAGTAGAATAGAGGTGGAAAAAAAAAACAAAGCAAGAGAAGAACAAATTAGAGCAGAGCAGAGAAGAGGAGAAGAAGACGAGAAGGGAAGAAGACCAACACAGTAAAGCAAAAAAAAAAAAGAGAGATTAGAACAGAGGCAGAGAAAAGAACCAGAGAAGAGAGAGAAGAGAAGTAGAACAGTCAAAGTAGAAGAAGAGGAAAAAAAAGAACCAGAACAGTCAAAGAAGAATCAAACAAGAAGAAAAGAAGAAAAAAAAGGGTATAACAGAGGCAGAGAAGATGAGAAGAGAAAAAGAGGAGAAGAGGAGAAGAATCGAACCAGAAGAAAGAAAGAACCAAAAAAAAAAAAACAGGGTATAACAGAGGCAGAGAAGAAAAGAAGAGAAGAAGAGGAGAAGAATCAAACCAGAGGAGAAGAGGAGAAGAATCGAATCAGAAGAAAGAAAAAAAAAAGGTATAACCAGAAGAGAGAGAACCAGAGAAGAGAGAGAAGAAAAGAGGAGAAGAGAGAGAGGAGAAGAGAACCAGAGAAGAGAGAAGAGGAGAAGAGAGAGAGGAGAAGAGAACCTGTGTATTTGGCGTGTCGTATACTCTTCTTCACGTCGCTTCTTCTTCTTCTTCTCCACTAGGGCATTTTTAAATGTTTTTGCTCTGTTGTTGACCCACGTTTGTATCATTTTATAATGTAAATGAGATGTCATCCCATGTGGGTATCCACACAGTAAACAAATGGGGGCTGTTGGAGTGAAATACATTTGAAGCGCATGAAGCGCACGCCTCAAGCTTTATAATAAAGCACGCGCTTCGTCGCCTCATCTGCGCCTTGCCCATGTCGCCTCGCCTAGCCATGCTTGAGGCGCAATACTGCACTTCATGTTGTCTTGGGCTTAGGCGCGCGCCTAAGCGCGCTTTTCAAAGCACTGCCTAATACATAGACAGGGATGGCAATCTGAACCCGACCCGACAGGGACCCAACCCCCCAACCCCGAATTCAATGGTTATTCACCGAAAAATATCCCCGACGGGCCGGGGATGGTATTCAAAAGTTCATCCCCGATGATATCCGGGCTGGGGACAGGGATAGATGTTTAAGCCCCGGCCCCGCCTCATTTAGTCCTTGAGGTAAAATTACCGTTTTGCCCCTGGGTGTATATATGCTTGTGTTTGTTTAGGGTTTGACACACACACTCACTCACACACGGCGCTGCTCTGCTCCACTCCTCTCTCTCTCACTCGCCACTGGTTTGGTCTCCCGCTCTCTTTCTCTCACCACCGCTCCTCCCTCACCGACGATCCTCCGTCACCACCGATCCTCCCTTACCGCCTCTACCATTTACCGTTTCGCCTCCCCTCCTCTCTCTCTCTCTCTCTCACACGAACGACGGGGCTGCTGCTCTCTCTCCCTCACCGCCGCTTCTCCGTCGCTGCTCTCTCTGTTTAGGTATCTCTCTCTAGGGATTTGGATCTAGGGTTTACATATATGTATATATATATATATATTTGAGTGTATATATATTTTCTTCAACCTCTATTTTTTTTTCCTTTAAATTTATTTATTTTATATATATATATATATATATAAATATCTGTTTATATATTTCTTTATTATGAATTTGAAGGATATTTTTATTGAAGATCCGTTTAGGTTCTGTGTGTAGGTGATGTTGTATTTTTTATGCAGATTTATAAAAATAAATATTCACACATATTTATTCAAACTCTATTATGATGTTGATGATGTTATTCTGTGTGTAGAAATTAGGCTATTAAATTCTCTCTATGATGAATAAAATACGTCTCTAGGCTATTAAATTTTCTCTATACCTTCATCTTTACTCCTATTTTTTACAAAAATCACTTTTTAATTATCTATTTTACTTAACTTAAAGCCTTTAAATTTGATGGTTCCATCCATATCCAAGTTACAGCTTGACTAACTAAATTTACTAGTCAACAAGCAACATACAATAAATTAAATACTTAAAACAAAAGAAATATACTTTTCCATATCATTTTCACATGTTAGCATCTCTTCTTAAGATGCCAAACCTCCTGGTTAAGGGAGAAATTTTGACAAGAATATGAATACTACCAGCTCAGTTTGATGGAAACAAGTCAAAATACAGAATAAGAAATATAAATAAGTGAATGTGATACAAAATGATACACTTACATCAGAAAGTCAACTTTTCTCCAGAGATATTTGTGTTGTGAAATAAAAAATAAAATAGAAAGAGATAAAAAGTGGAAGAGATGTTACCTCCAGCTGCCATTTGTTTAGAAATTGATGTTTAGTTAATTTGTTTCTCAGTTCCATTAATTCAATCCATGTTATTAGTTAGTATTAATTTGTTTCTTAGTTCCAGTAATCTACTTTTAAGTTACCTCTGTTAATATTATTTCAATCCATATTATTTTTATAAAGGTTAAAAATGTCAGATGTTAACTCTCAAGCTCTAGTTAACTCTAAAGTACCCATCACTACCAGAAAAAGCACTTTTTGCGACCGTCACAAACCGTCGCATATGGGGGACGCGAATGTGGGGGTGGCAAATACTTTTTGCAATGGCAAAACAGCGGTCGCAAATTATTTGCGACCACCTAAACTACTTATAGTGACTGCTATTTTGCCGTCGCAAAAAACAAAGAAAAACACTAACATGATTTTTGGCGACCATCTTGTTACCGTCACGAAAAAAAAAAAAAGTGTAACGTTAAGCCCTCTAGGAATAGCAATGACAAGAATTCAAACAATATATCATTGTAATTTAAACAGACATTCCATTTTAGCCTCAAAATTGGAGCCATATATGAAAGTTATTACAACTAAAAACTTGAGAAAGGTTCTTTTATGAAAAAAAATACAATCCAGATAGAAAGCTAATAAAATCAAAATCTACAATGCTAGTGTTC